CTTGCCGATGAGATGACTTAGCACACAAGAGTCTCTTCTTCCCCAGAAATTGATTCTGCTTTCAAAACCTTGGAGAAGGGTCTTATAAATCTTCTAAATTTGGAAAGCTTAGAAAACCTTTTAAATTGTATTTATTTCCAGGCTTTAGAGCCACTCTCCTTCCAAGAAGGAATATTTCAATTTAGAGGAAAAAGCTACACAACACTCTGTAATTCAGAGAGTTATAATTTCCAGTAAGTGCACCAATGAGAAGTCCATAGACAAAAGAGTCCTAGTGATACTGCCCACTACAGCAAATAATAATATAGGGGTAAAAGAAATCAGCTAAAACATTGGATGTTGCATATTGAGGAAATCTAGACAATTACTTTTATATCTTAGATTCCTTTTGCTTATTTGTATATTTCTTCATTAAATATCCAGGTTTTTGACTCTCCAGTCTTTCTAAACAATAACACAAACAACAAATTAACCTACTTCAAATAATGCCATGAAATAAAAATGTTACACAAATCCTTTTTATCACTTTTTTCTTTTTAAAAATGTGTCTAGGCATTTGCAAGTACACATTCAACACATTGTGATTGTACTCAATCATTTTTACATTAGAAGGATGTCAACATTTCAAATGAGGAAAGGCTAGGAATGTGATTTTCTTTTCTAGATGAACAGTGGAGAAGGAGTCATCAACAGGAGGAACAGAAATCAAGAGAGAGGGGCTCCTGCAAATTATTTTCTCTATTTGTCTATTTGTTTGTGTGGAGCTCACAAACCCTGTTCATCATTGTGTGGTGAATTCAGAAAGTCAGCACTCATACCACCCATAAATGACAACTCCATGCAACTGCTGTTTACTAATTTCAGTATGGAAATGGTTATTATTTTCATTACTATCATCAAAATATTTATCTAGACATAACTGGGAAAATCAGTGGTTTGAGTATTTATATTGCTTTACCTGTTATTTGCATTTTAATGGGCTAATATACCTTATATCCAGTATTTAACTTCAATTCCCTATACATGTATTTAACTTTAACGCCCTATACATGAGAGAACTAAGTTAGCCTATCCATTTTTCCCTCTCTTTTCTGAAAGTTTCTGAACCAAATTTGCTTTTATTAAAGATTTGTACCCTTAAATATAGCCATTGTAAAATATGAAACTTATTGAAAACACTATTTCCATTGGAAGCAACTTTGACATTTTGTATAAGAACATGTAATTATATTCTGAAAACTTCCATATTTTAATCTTCAAGTTATTTAATATTTAAGGCATGAACAAATGCTCTTTTTCTCATGATAAAATTATGGTCTTGTCTAACAGAAACCTCAACTTTGACTGCCCAATATATACTTCAGTTGGTTTTTCTATCTACAAGAAAAATAATTATTGCATTTGTAGTTATAAAAACTTCAAATTGGTGAAGATTTTTTTAAAAGTTTTGATGTTTAGCCATTATGCCATTCTCTCATCACATTTCTCTCTTTTTTAAAATAAATTTATTTATTCATTTTACATCCTGTCCACAGTTTCCCTTCCTTCCTCTCCCCCAGTCCCTCCCTGCCCAAACTAACCTCTGTTCCCACCCCCATTCTACTCCTCTGTTTCTGTTTAGGAAAGGGCAGGTCTCCCATGACTGTCAAAACATGGCACATCAGGTTGCAGTAAGACTAAGTACCTCCTCATGCATTAAGGCTGGGCAAACCAGTATGAGGACTGGGGTCCCCAAAGCCAGTAAAGAGTCAGAGACAGCCTCTGTTCCATCTGTTAGAAGTCCACAAAAGGACCAAGCTACATAACTGTAACACATGTAGAAGGCCTAAGTCATACCCATGCAGGCTCCCTGGTTGTTGGTTCAGTCTCTGTGAGCTCCTATGATCCCAGGTTAGTTGATTCTGCAAATTTTTTTGTGGTGTCCTTGACCCCTCTGGCTCCCATAATCCTTTCTCCTACTCTTCTGCAGAATTCCCCAAACTCCACCAAATGTTTGGCTGTGTGTCCGCAACTGTTTGCATCAGTTGCTGGATGAAGCCTCTCTAATAACAACTGGGCTAGGTACCAATTTGGTCACAGGAGGTGGCCAGTTCAGGTTATGTATTTGCTATTGTTAATAGTCTAAGCTGGGATCTTCCATGTAGTTTCCTGGGAGAATGCCTTGTGCCAGGCTTTTACCTGATCCCAAAATGGCCCCTGCTTTCCAGTAGTCTCTTTCTGTAACCTCCCCTTACATCCCTTTCCCCCAACTTGATCACTCATGCTCCCATCCCCACATGCCCTCAGTCACTCACAAAATCTCTTCTATCTCTGGTATTCTGTTGGTGATGCTTGAATCTATAGTTCCTGTTCACTTACTCAAATTTTCCATTTCCAGGATTCCTTCTGTTTATGTTTTCTTTATTGCTTCTATTTCCATTTCAGGTCTTGAACAGCTTCCTTCTTACGTTCATTTGTTTTTTCTTGCCTTTCTTTAGGGATGTATTTATTTCTTCCAATTTTTTATTTGTCATTTCCTCAATTTCTTTAACAGATTTTTTATATCTTCTTTAAGGACCTCAATAATCTTCATAAAGTCATTTTTAGGTCATTTTCTTGTGCTTCAGCTGTGTTGCATTGTTCAGGTCTTGTTGTTGCATTTTCTGTTATTGATTGTGTTCCTACAATGGCATTTCAGCATCTGGGCTTGAGATGATTATAGGTCTAGGTGGTGATTCCTTCTTTTGTCTTTGTTGGATAGGGGTTTGTTCTTTGGTTTCTGTTTCTTCTCAGGTCTTCTGACCAAAATGGCCAAGGGTTCTGGTGACTAGCATGTCTTCAGATCCAGTAGGGTGTGTCTCCTCGGGTTTTGGGGGCTATGGGTCTGTAGATCTGACCTGGTCTTTGTTGAAGCTGAATTCTTCTTCTGAAGTTGTAGACCAGGGGAGCCCAGGGGAGGAGATGCAGTCTGGAGTCCCCTAGATCTGGTCTGGCCTCTTCGGTCCTTAAAATCAGCCTGGCCTCCGGTACAGCTGTCTGTGCCAGGGTCCCTACATCTGGTCTGTCCTCTAATAAAGCAGAAGTCTTCTTCCAAAGTTGTAGACCAGGTTACAAAGAAGCCCAGGGTGTGTGTGTGTGGTGGTGGTGGTGGTGGTGGTTGGTGGGGGGTTAAGAAGTGTTTGTTGGCGGTGGGTGGTGTCTTACCTGGGATTCCTAGATCCTGCTGGCCTTTAGTAAAGCTGAAGCCTTTTTCCAAAGTGGTGGCCTATATATGGATCCCAGGGGTGGGCAGTATAGTCTGGGGCTATTGGACAGGCTAAAAAGAGTGTAGCAGGAAGTGGGATATGTGTTACCTGGGATTCCCTGGACCAGCATGGCCTCCTATAAGGCTATCAGGGCCGTAGACTGTAGTATGAAGTCAATGGAAGGGTGGGGCACATTTTCTGTCTTTAATGTAATTATACCACTTGTCTTATAGATAGGAATGAAGCAACCATGATCACAGTGTCTCAGTCAGCTCAATTACTTAAGGATTTGGTTATTTCTTCGTAAGGCAAATATAGTTGCTAGTATTGTCTTATGTTATTAGAAACACTTGACATGTTGCTTCAGAGAAGATTACATTAATAATATGCTTAAATTCTATGTAGATGAAAATCTATGGTATGGTATGTTTAAGTACACTAAATATTTAAATATAAATGATCAGTGAAATTGGCATGGGTGAAAAACATGGCTACCTGAATATAAATATTCTCTGTACTGTGATAAAGAACATGTTAAGTAAGTTTTTGTGTTCTTCCAAGTCCATAGTCCCAAGTCCAATCCCATACTAATATGGTAGACTTTTATCTAGTATGGCTCATTAATTTAATTTATGTGGAAAGATCTTCCCTTTTCTGAAATTTAAAAAAATGTTAATAAAAAATAGCATTTACGTTAGATTTTGTATTCTCAGAATTTCAGTGCTACATATTTCTTATCATAGGATAGATCTATATGTGATTGCAGAAGATCCTCAATAAGCCACATTTATTCCAGTGCACTAGTTTTCTATACATTTTGCTCCATGGCCTGAAAAATAAGCGCCCTGGGAATACATGTGTAAATTCACATTCCTTACCTTTGCCATTACCATCTAAATGGCAGAGCCTGCAGGTGTTGCATATTGTAATAAGCCCCTTGGGTGACTTTATACAAAGTTTAAATGTCACCTGTGCCACACCACATTACTTTACCTGATTTTCTGTTCAATATGTCAGAGAATTCAACTCTTGACTGGTGACAAGATCTTACAAAATTAAGTCATAAGCATATTCTGTTTTTAGGATGGGTATTTCGGTCCTGCCAAAAATCAATGGATGATTTGGAAAACATAGACTTTCCCTAGAGAAGCTAGGAGAGTGCAGCATCAATAAAATATCAGCCTGTTCAAGGTAGACTGTTGCAGTGTGCTGATACACAAGGCTCTTGTCAGGAGATGCACTCAGCTACAGAAGTAGCATGATGGAGTCGCCCTTAAGTCAAACTTGATACCTAATGGAAAGAAAATAGAATTTGCAAGTGCCACCGGTCTGTCCAGTTCTGGTTTATTTTTAATGACAAGCCAATCTGCTGTGTGTCTAGCATGTCATACCAACCCAGACAAAATCATGCTTATGAAATCTTCATTAGGGGAAGATAGAAATAGAGTAGTAAAATAACATAAAGCTTTCTTGACGTAAACATGCCGTTTTAGCTGCTAAAACAACACAGGACAGTTTAGAATGTGCAACAGCATCACTTTTTATTGTTATTCATAAAGAGGAAACAAAATTTGGAAACATTTTTAAAAGCAAAGCATAAATAAATTAGTCGGGTTTTTTTCTTTTAAACATTTACTTATAGGGTTGCAATTATTTAAATGTTCTTTATTTTTAATATATTGTCTTATGAATTTAGGAGGTTTTCATTCATATGCACAATATATTTTGATCAATTTGTGCCGTACTTCTCCTCAACTCTTCTCAGATCACCCCATCACTATACCCTCCCAAAGTCATGACATTTCTTTCTTTTCTAACCCAAGATATTTAATTTGTGTTGTCTGTGTCCTTAGGGGGTGTGAAACCATCGACTGGAGCAAGGTGGACCTCCCTGGGACCTCACTCTTAAAGAACACTGATTTTTTCCTACCCTAATGACACGAACTGACAGTGGTTCCTCATGCTGGTAAGAATGTGGGGGGTCACAAAACTGCCTTACAATCAAGTGGGTATGTGTGAGAGAGATTAGGGTACTGTCTTTCCAATTACACCTCAATCTCTCTCTCTCTCTCTCTCTCTCTCTCTCTCTCTCTCTCTCTCCTCTCTCTCTCTCTTTCTCTTACTCCTTTTTTCTTCCCCTCCCTTTCTTTTCTTTCTCACTCTGTTCTCTTTTAGGACCTCATGTTACCCAGATTCTCCTCAAACTCAAACTCAAAGTCATGCCTAGTATTAGACTTCTGATTTCCCTGGGATTGCAGGTGTGTGCTACCATACCTTGCTTATGAGATGCTGAGACTCTGCTGTGGGCCTTGTGCCTGCTGGTAAACACTCCTCCAAATCAGCTCTATCTCACAGCCCCTTATCACACTAACTCTTAAATAATGAAGAAACTAAATTTCCATGCCATGGAGTAAAGCTTACTGGGGGGATTTCTTTACTGTACAGTGTTCATCTAACCAAAATGTCTCCTCTTGCCTCTCACTGAGATATTTCCTGATAGATTCTCTACTTCAAGGAACAATATTGGTATTCATATTCCAATTAACCTAGGCATTGATTTTATCCTCTATGAGGTATGTTCCAAACTTAACATATTCTGTGCTTAATATTCTTGATAGGAAAAGCTCTATAATATTAATAGAGCACACTTTATACTAATCATTACCATTATAAGCCATAGCTCATTGTGGTAAATACTGATTCTCACTCTGTGGCAGCACCATACCTACAAAAGTAGAATTATTCTGAGACAAAAAAAGGTTTGGCTGAACTTGTTGACTCTGAGTGAAGTAGGATTAAAAAAAATTAAAACCTACACGTAAAACCAAAATATTGATTTGTGAAATCATTAAACATATCAAGTGGTAACATATTCTTGTTCTTACTATTCATTATTCCATGGTTCAACAAATATGTTTGAATTAGAGACTAATAGTTTATTTGTTCATTTTTTTCCATTTTTCTTATGTTAGATGAGAGCTGATGAGTTTTAAAATATCTCGTGACAGAATTGGAAATGGAATCGTAACCTTCCCTAGGAATTTCCATGAAGTTCGTTGGGTGCTTATAGAAAATATTAGGGGAATTCTGAGATATCATTTCCTGGAAGCGGATCTAAGAATGGAATAGAGCAGAAAGCAATAATATATTACGTTATTGTTAAAATGTATATTCAGAACAGAAAAATATAAGGTATTAGACATTTAGAAATATTTTATATACTCAAAATGTTGAACAATCTAAAAATATATGAATCAAAACATGAGTCTGAGGGGTAATTATACTGAAAATAATTGACAAAATAGATGTTTATGAGATAGATGCAGCTGAAATAATGATTAGATGGAAATGTATGGAATTATAAATAACAAATGCTTCATTCAAGATAAACTGTTCTCTTTTATTTATTTTTTTCTTTCAGAGCCAGAATATTCAGCTATGTTAAAACATCTGCACTTACCAGGAGCCGTAGGTGACCAAATAAACCCAAACTTGATGATTAGATTCCAGAGCTGAAGACACCACACTCTTGGTCACAGGACTTGAATAAATCAAGCTGGTACTGGCCAGGAAGCTTCCTCCCTGATGACTAGCTCTCATAGAGGAGATAGTCATCAGAAGTTTGACATAACTGTGGATCTTGTGAGCTACAATAGCATGATGTGCTCAGGGGCACAAGAGTGCTATAAATATTACTGGGGTGACAAACTTGTTTCTGATTTAATTCAAGGCCTGCTCCACAGGAAAGAATTTGTGACTGAAACTATGAACCTAGACAGCAATCTATAGTATGGAGCTCACAGACTCCAACTTACACAGACCTGGGTAAGTCCTGTGCATGCTGTCTTAGTCTCTGCAAGTCCATATAAGCTTTGATTATGTTGATTGACAGGGCCTTGTATTCTTGGAGTCCTCCATCCCCTCTTTCTTTTTCACACTCTTTCTGACTCCTCTTTCTTGGTATTCCCTCAGCTCTGAGGGGAGGGATTTGACACAGCCCTTTCACTTAGGGCTGAGTGTTCCAAGGTATCTCATTTCTTTGCATAATTACTGGCTGAGTCTATTTGTTCCCATCTCCTGCAGGAGGAAGCTTTTCTTATGATGGCTAGGCAAGCCACTGATCTATGAATATGGCAGAATGTTATTAGGACTCATATGATTGATAATTTTTTCATTTGTTTGTTTAAAACAATAGTATTTGGTTTTACCCTGGGTAAAACTATCTTAGGTAAAGCTATCTTAGGCTCTTGGTCACCCAAGCAGTGTCAGATATGGGTTCCAACACATGGAGTAGGCCTTAAATCAAATCAGATATTTGTTGGTTAGTCCCACAAGTTTGTGCCACTATTGAACTATCATATCTTGCTGACAGGACACTTTTGCAGATCAAAGCATTTGTGGCTGGCTTGGTATTTATGTTTCTCCTTTGGTAATGTGCAGAGTACATTCCTGTACCAAAGACAATACTCTTGAGTGTGTGTCCATTCCCTGGAGCATGCGCTATCTATTAAATATGACTAGACAGATTATGGGCGTAATGAAGAGCCTGTTACTATTTTTCTGCTAAAGGAACATAGTATTCAAATGACTCCTAATGACTTATTGCTTTACCCATAGACTAGTGCATCTCTCAACCCTCATCAGAGAAGCTTCTTGTTGAGTTAGAAGGCAATTAGAACAGGGACTTACACTGGTCAGAGTTCAGAAAATAAAGACCCTGGAGTGCTCATGCCCCAAAGGGACATTTATAAGAATGACATTTGGTTTGTTTTGATTTTGTTCTGTTTTTGTTATTCCACATGTGAGTGAGATCATATGTATGTATCTGACTATCTTTGTGTCTGGTTTGACTTACCACAATGATTTCTGTTTCCATCAGTGTGGACACAAATGACAAGATTTCATATTCTTTTGAGTGAAGATATTCAAATTCATTGTGCACTTATCCTTTCATCAATATACAGAAGTCATTTCTAGTCCTGTGGTTGGGGGAGTAAATTATGAATAAACATTGAGAGTGCATACTTACTTTATGATTGATTGATATTTACTACTAAGTATGTTCTCTTTGCATTTACTGGGTAATATTTTAATTCTATTTCGTGTGTGTGTGTGTGTTTGTGTGTGTGTGTGTGTGTGTGTGTGTGTGTGTGTGTGTGTGTGTGTGTGTGTATGTGTGTGATGTGAATGAATACAAGTGCTCACAGAAACCAAGAGTTGCTGTCTATTCCTGGTAGCTGGAGTTACAGGGAGTTGTGGGTGTTGGAATCTGAACTCCAGACCTCCTCAAGTACAGTAAGTATTCACAGCCACTGAGCCATTTCTCTAGCCCACATGCATGATTCTAAATAAAAATTCTATAGTAAAATGACAATTGAAAATGTAATATCTTTTCTGTGAAAGAGAGTATATATGTCTCAAGGGTTTCTTAAAGGAGATGAGATGAATCTTCAGGAAATCTAGCAATACTACAGAAAGCTAAAAATTATGTTTGAAAATTACAAAGTGCCCAAGAATTTAATAAATTTTACCGATTCTACGTGCTTCCTTCTCAATGAGCTTCAAATTTCTTTTTAATTTTTAATTTTATTTATTTTTTAATTTGCTTTTCATTAAAGATTTTTTTCATTTTACATACCAACCACAGTTCTCTCATTCCTCCCATCCTCTCCCTCACCCTCACCTTCTCCCCACCCCACCCACCATCCACTCCTCACAGAGGGTATGGCCTCTCATGGGGAGTCAACAACGTCTGGCATATCAAGTTGAGACAGGACCAAGCCCCTATACAATGTACGAGACTGAGTAAGGTATCCCTCCATAGGGAATGGGCTCCAAAAGGCCAGTTCATGCACTAGGGATAAGTCCTGGTCCCACAGTCAGAAGCCCCACAAACAGATCAAACCACACAACTACCACCCACATGCAGAGGGCCTACTTCGATCCCATGCAGACTCCTCAGCTGTCAGTCTAGAGTCAGTGAGCTCCCATTAGCTTGGGTCAGCTGTCTCTGTGGGTTTCCCCACTATGAACTTGACCTCCTTGCTCATATAATTCCTCCTCCCTCTTTTCGACTGGACTCCAGGAGCTCAGTCCAGCGCTTAGCTGTGGATCTCTGCATCTGCTTTCATCAGTTACTGGATAAATGTTCTATGATGACAATTAGTGTAGTCATCAGTCTGATTACAGGGAAAGGCCAGAGAAGCTAGGTAACAAGGAGGACCCTAAGAGCTTCAAATTTCTGTTGGTTTCTTTGAAAGAAACTAAAATGTCATTGACTCTCTCTCTCTCTTTTTTTTTCTGTATAAATTCACAGCTTTGATTCTTATGATGAAATAGGACTAATTCCTTTAGAGAGTTCTTTCCATGAGTTTTCTCTTACCATTGATTCGAGAAGACTAAGAAGTATAATAATTCCTCTATTGGAATGTCTGCATTATTAATTGTGAAGGAATAAACATAAATGATGACTAAAATGAGCTTTTAGAAAACAAGAATCTGAGGGATTCTAAGGCAATGTATAAAACATAAAGGATGAAACTCCTTAAACTGAGTTCCTGTGTTGTTGAGTATTCCAGAATCCAATTGATGATACAGCCAGTGTTTGTAGCAGGATCTGTGTGTCAGATAAATGAGACCTGTTATAAAGTACGAGAATATTGCATAGGTTTTCTGTTCATGTGTATATGGTCAGGGCTAACCACTCCGGTTTTTATGGTTCCTTTTATCTTAATAGAAGATAATTATCTTTCTCCCACTAATTGTTAGCTGCCTGTAGTTCTTTTTTGGGGATGAACTCTATGAAACTACTTCATGTGCGCACACTCGTGCGTGCATGTGTGTGTGAATAATAGCCAAAGGAAAAGAGACTATCAGCTTGAGAGTAAGGAAGGGAAGATGGGAGAGGAATTTAAAGGAGGGTTTCTGGGAGGAAATGGAAGTAAGGAAAGAGAAAAGAGAGAAAGTGTTGTAATTCCATTTCATTTAAAAACATATTTTAAAAATTTCCTGAATGCAAAACAAAAGAATAAAACACATGCTTCAGACATCAGAGATATTCATCAGCTGAAGTATGGTTTATAAATAGAATGCTAGGATAGTAAAAGTTTAAAAATAAAATAGAATATCTAAACAGTAATGCAGCAACCTAAATTTCTGTGGTAAAATCTTTAATATTACCAATCCCCCCGAATGTCTTCATAGTTCTCATGATACTATTCTTGTTTTCCTTGCCATATATTTTCTTTCAGATACACTTTGACAGTACCTATATAACCTCACTCATGGTGGTCTGGCCAAAGTAACTAGAACATTCATTTCCTTGATAAGTAGGAATATCATCTATAAACTGTCTAGAATCTACAATTCTGGCCCCAAAACATGAGCTGCATGCAGTCTTTTAGCTGCATTGAATGTTTGATTAGTAACTAAGTGCAGCATGATGTTTGGTAAGAAGACAGAACAAACCACCAGCATACTAAAAGAAAGTTGTAGACTAGGAGGGAGAAAGGTTGATGCTCTAGCTGCCATTGGCTGTGCAATGAACCTAGCTGTCAGCATGCCTGAGATTGGCTGCTTAAGTTTCCCAAAATTTTTTGAGAACATATTGAATCTTTTCTATAGCCATTTCTCCAAATATCCTTAATTAGAATTAATTTAGTCAGTTTTCTGCTTCTAACTATATTAAATACATATTCATGGGATTTAATTAGCTCTAGTTACGATTATATTAAAACTACTTCAGCTTAAATTAGTTTCACAATTTTAATTTTAGAATGTTACCCAACATTCTGTAAACTGACATATCATATATTATTTATAGCTCATGTAAATACTTAATCTGCTATATAATTTTGTTATTTTTTGATGTCACATCTTTCAATTCATTTCATTGATTCATCTTTAAATGAATGTACAATTAAACTGCATATATTTGATGTCAGTGTATGAAGTATGGAGATGAAGATGAATGTATATTTTATAACTTTAGATTTTCATCAATATTACTGGAAACTTGTAATTTCACCATTTGACTTAGATGTTTGACTCATATGAATGTCTGTGTCAATAAGGGATGAATCTTGACATGTAAAGGAAATATTTCATAGTTAAACTTTTCAATCTACCTGATTCTTAACTCTATGTATTAATATTTCCTGCATTCATATTTATAAAAATAAATTGTATTAAGTTGACTTAAAACACACATGTGCTTTTTAATAATTGCATTAGATGAAATTGCACCCTGCAGATCTCAGGGCCCGTAAGTAATAACTTGTAGTGGCATTCTTGATTTAATAACAAAAGTTGACAATATTTTAAAGCAAATTTCTCCTTTCCACTTATTTTGACTCCCACTCTATATGCATAAATATACTCAGAGGACAGTTTAAGTTCAATTCATAAAAAGACTTTAACACACATTTAAAAATTAAATTATTTGACATTGTATATTTATTGCATTAGCAAACTGTAGCCTAATGTCACTGTTCCAAAGTGGTTTGAAAATGAAAATAGCTTGCTCTGTTCTTAACAAAATAGCTTCTTCTTTAGATAGTCAGATTCTACTGATCATCACCAAATATGGATGTTTGGTATGTACTAAGGCTGATATAATTGAGACACAAATTAAATGCAAAATATGTATTTTTTCTATAGAGGATTATTAAGTTACTCCTTCTCTGCTTGATTTTTTCTGTCATGGATAATCTTTAGGTTATCTTTAGAACATGTAATAAAATGAGTACTATACTCAACCACTTAAATTATGAGTAGAACAATAATTAATGATATGAAACTAGTGATATAAATTGTGTCTCCTTTTGACAACCTTGGTTGATGATTCTTTGTAAGGACATCAACAGGTATGTTGACCTTGAAAACATATTAAGTTTACCTATAGATTACAAGCAATGAAGTGTAAAATAAACATCTTAAAGCTATATCTATAAATGAAGTTTTTGTAAAAGAACAGATCATTTTTATGACATACCTCTATGGGATTTTTTTCTCTATTTCTGCTTTTTTTTTCTACCTTGAAGGATTAATTGATGTTCTCTTTGAAATTACACCAGTTCAAACAAAGGGGGCCTAAACACTGTAAATTCTCTTTATTCTAATTAGTTAATGAGGCACATTTGAGTTGTTTGAAGCTTGTTTTATGAGTCTTAAAAGAACCAGAGGCTAAATTCTCCCATTAGTCATCCATCTGTAACCATCACTAACTTCATTGCAAGTTTATTACATAAATAGCCCAGAGTGGAATTTAGATCCAGAAAATAGGTCTAGGAAAATTCAGTCAGTTACCCCCATTTTCTCTATCTCATCACGTTAGCCATTGTTCTATTTTTATTATGATATGAAGTATGTTTGCTGCTGTCATTGATTTTTTTAGAGTAGAGATAATTTTACACTTGTGTTCTTGTGTTTTCAGGTATTTAGTAATAAACTTTATTTAAAGTGAGTTAAAGAGTGAATAAAAGTGTTAAACAAATTTAATAGCTTCAAAGTGTGGTAATACCATTTCACTCATAGTACTGCAGTATGTTCTGTAGTACTTGTGATTAGATCTTTGGTCTGTAATATTTTTTAATTGTTGCTGTGATATATACTACTCATAACTACACTGTCCACACTCCTTTATGTTGCTGGAATATCTAAGTAAATCAAGGAGATATATCACTAAAATTACAGTAAAGAAAGATATATAGTAAAACCCCTAGTTATTTATCAATATGTTTCTTTTTAGTTAACATTATTTCTGGACATTATAAACAAATTACCATTCATTGTTTTTTATCATTATTGGATTTCATTTATTGTGCATTTTAAAAGAATACTTAGCATAATGATTTTGTACAATATTTTTGTTACCACAAAATTAGGCAAAAAAAGAACAAAAATGTCAGATTAAATAAATGATGGTACTTGATAAGGATGACCAGATTCCAGGATAGATTTTTCTTATGTTACTATTTACACAGACCAGTATCTGAGTCCCTATTTGCTGTATTATTGTCTAATATATATTATATATTATATATGTATTATTGTCTAATATATATTATATATATATATATATATATATATATATATATATTACCATTAACATTGGCTAGTACTTGTCAGCAAACACCATAAAGAATAGTCTCTCAATCTTGGGGAGCAGATGAGTAATCTTTATTGCTATTGTGTAAGAGTCCAAACACAGTCGCCTGTCTGAGTCCTTGAAAAATGTGTTTTGGCAACTGGAAGCCCATGAACTATAGACTAGTGGCTGTGGAGCCCCCATGGGA